TTCATCTTCTTCGGGCAATTTTACACAGGACTGAACACATACATAAAGCGATAATCTCGGATTACTTAGATAAGGATTAATTTAAACTTCGGCATTCTAATAATTTCAATATGAAGGCAAATCCTTTTGTGACCCGTGGTAGGTAAGATATGAATAACCAGATGATTGGTCAAAGGTTGAAGTCATTTCAAACATGGGCCGTTGTTTTATTTCCTACTGTCGCCACCATTTTTGCTTGAATTGGATGTGAATTGGATGATGATGATGATGATGATGATTATGATGTTGAAGATGGTGATGGTGATGATGATGATGATGTTGAAGATGATGACGAAGTTGAAGATGATGATGTTGAAGATGACCGTGGTGACTATGATGATGTTGAAGATGGTGATGATTATAATGATGATAACGACAATGATGTTAAAGTTGAGGAGAGTGATGGATGATGGTAATGATGATGATGATAATGTTGAAAATGATGATGATGGTGACTAGGCCTATGATAATGAAGATGATGCCGATGTTGAAGAAGATGATGGTGATGATGGTGATAAGGATGATGATGGTGATGATGTTGAAAATTATCTCTTTTAATCTTACATCTTTTTTATATTCGTGGTAATGTGTTAAGCAGATGACTTCGATGACACTTGAGGAAATATGTACAAGTTGTTAACATTCATCCATGTCCAAGTTGTCAAGCTTGGAGTAAAACATCTCTTAAATCGAAGATGAAAAGCCAATCAAAATTCCGTGACAATATCGCGTTGCACCTCACTTGCGCTTGCGCAGGAAATAGATGATGTTTGAAGGATGACGTGCGACAGATCAGTTCCCTTTTCGTTGATATTTCCACATTGTTTTGACGGAATAAATGGCTTTTAGCTCATAGATGCTAACGCAAGGACATTACCCACCAACTTGGATCTGAATGTTTGCTGTAGCCGTAGATGTAGGCGTGCAATAGACGCCTGGATGTAAGTATGCATTAAGTGCACCATTTATTTATATATGAATTATTTCTGTAACTCCGTCTTTAATCTACTTACCAGCCATTTTCATAAACTGAAAGAGAAGGCCTCTTCATCTATTTTTAAAGTTGACATGATGATAAATTGACATTGATACTGATAATAATTATGATAATGATATCATATTTGAATAATAATGCTTAATAATCTACCTATCTTAGGGCCTAAATAATAATAATAATAATAATAATAATAATAATAATAATAATAATAATAATAATAATAATAATAATAATAATAACTGTAATTAATAATAGAATAGCATATCACCTAAACTCAGTTCTATTCGAAACAAGCTTTTCACCGAACAAGGATCGAAAGGTTACTTTTTATTGTGAGTTCTGATGAATATGATGCCGTTAAAACCTGTTATTGAATCATGTAACGTTTTTTAAGGCATACTGCTCATGAGGCTTCGACCTGAAGACGATTACAGCTAGGTATTACGTTGTGTCCATCGCCTGGGACTCGCCGGGTTTTCTTGTTATAAACTTTTCACATTAGTTTTCTCTTTTTCTCTTATTTTAATTTTCATTGTTTGTTATTGTGCCTGTATTTTGACCATACATTTTTGTTGGAGGTGGTTATCAAACAAAGTGAATTGAATTTAAATTGAATTGTCTTGATTCTCAAGGCAACGTAAATTCGCAGCAGCTGACAACATTAATTGATTGTAGGGGTCATAACGTAGGCTACGTAAATAGTCCCACATCCTTTCAACCTCAAACACATTCTTCAAGAGAAGGATAGTTCCTGCTCTTCCGGAAAAAAATCCCAAAAATAGGCTATAACATTGTTCGAGCATTAGATTTTACTTGTTTTGTAGCCTTGTTCGAGGGGAGCCTGCTAATGCTGTTACAGTTGGTATTTCTTAAATTAGTAATATTATTATCAACAGGTACGTTATTTGTTTATTAACATTTCGAGATAACGGAAAACAGAATACAGTAATAAAAGCAGATAACGGTTAGTTTACATTAAAGTTGAAAGATTGAATACAGTGTATGACGTCATATAGAAATAACGTATCAAGTTTAATGACGTGTAAATTTGATTATGATGCCCCATGGGAAAGGAGGAGAAAGAGCACAAGTTTCCTGTAAGAAAACATAAGAATAGATGTCAACAATGACGGGCCTGAGGCTTACGGATGCACATAACTGTCTCATAACTGCTTCTGTTTCTTTCCTGCATGCATAGACCTATACAAAATAATTTTCGCTGGCCTTATTGTATGTATTACATTTTTCAATTCATTATGTGGCAAAGTGTCCACATGATAATTTTAGAGTCTGGCGTATCTTATAGACTTAATACTGAATCCATCTGTACAGTATGACTGAGATACGACCTTTAAAGCTGCGACCTTTGGTGTACCGATTTGACCTCTCGGATATCCTATGCGCATTATTTGCTTTTACTGCTTTTACACACTAATCCTACCATTCTACATGAAAGCTACCAACGATTGTAATCGACGGTTTAGTTACTGTTGGGAGGTTTTCCACAGACTAGACGTCTGTTGATGTTTTATTTGTATCACGCGGTTTGAAAACATAATTGATAATAAGTCTTTCTTAAGTAGAGAACTGATACTTTGATGGAATGGTGCTTATGCAGGTGAGTACAGGTGAGTGACTGACTGGGCAATTGGTTGGAAGTTGATGCCCCCGTGCACATACTGACAAGCTTGCATGTTCTTGGTAGGCGTCTTTGCGTCTGTTACTAGCAGTATGCATATTCCTTAAAGCAAGGTTCCGGAGGAAAAAAAAAGATTCGTTGTGCAACTGATTTTATATGTCACAAAAAAGGGTGTGTGACGAATCGGTTAACAGTTAATGAAATACAGATTTTTTAATATCTAGAAACTGGTGAAAAGGGGGCGTATCCCCTTTTTAACCTTTTGCAGAATTTTTTTTTTTTTTTTTTTTTTTTTTTTTTTTTTTTTTAATATTAAAAAATCTATATCTTATTAACCGTTCTCGAGTTTTCGTCAAACAAACTGTTTAGGTCTTAGGAAAATCAGTTTTACAGCATATCAATAAAAAAAATGTTCCAGAACTTGGCTTTAAGTAGAGAGAGCTGTGGTGTAAAATATCAATATTGTTGCGTTCGTAAGTGATGCGGCAATTTTTCAATTACACATAAATCAGCTTGGTGTGAATCATAACAATTCGACAGCGTTAATCTGTATTTTTGTTTTGTTTTGTTTTGTTTTGTTTTAAAGGTCATTGTATTGAGCATTTTTCGTCATCTGCTTTTTGTGATTGTTAGTATTCGTTGTTATTTCGATGTCTATCCGTTGTTAGTAGATTATGTCATGCAAAGTGAGCGTATTCGTGATAATAATAATACATTTATTTTGATATAGCGCAGAACGGAATGCTATCTCTATGCGCTTTACCTTAAAAGCAAAAGCCGGAACAGAATTAAAATCATCGTCAATTCGGTTGTTGTGTGTGGAGAAGAAACTTAATTTGTTATTTCTTTAAAAATTGGTTATTTGATGGACACTACCAGCCAGTCTCGTAATGGTCTCTACATTTTACCTCTTATCTCATCACTGGTTGTATTTTTCTTTGTGTTGGTTTTTGTTGCACATGTTTTTGTATCCCCTATTTTTCCGTTTGTTTTCTGGGTAATAAAATAAATACAATTAAATAATTTAAAGATATTCGCAAATTGTCGTCCAGGAATTAGGCTTGCAAGAATGCTTCAGGGGACCCGCTCCACGAGCTCCGCTCCTGGACCTTGTTGTGGCTATACAGTCCCGCCTCAGCCAAAGACCCGGTGTCTTTCTCTAGTAGGCATTTAGGTCTTTAGCATGTAGGGTTTGTATATTACTCTAGCTGTTTAGTCGAGTAATACGGTAAGCCACAGGAATGGCATGAAATATTACGGTATTACCAACAGCGGTGTGTTGCCATGGTATCGTCATAGTGTTTTCATTGGCATGTTTTGACATGGTTCCGCAATGTAATTACAGTGTCAGTATTTATAGTACATGTGTTAGGATAATTCCACACTTTCTGTCTACTAATCCATGGCTGCTCTAACACTTGTCTATACAATGAACCATTCTGGTTAGGACCGCCCTTGGATATTGTTGCAAAGGTAGGCCCCTCGACAGCGTAAACGCAAATATTACCGTAATACACAGTGCATTTTTGGGCAAGCCTGTTCCTGGCCCTGTTTGTTTAGTCAGTATAAGTTTAATTGAAACTCCGGAAAGTTCCATTATGTGATGAATGTCATAATAGATTATCTAGAAATTGACAAGCAAACAATTGAGTTCTAATTATGTTGGTCAATATAGGTCAAAACGATATAAATATGAACTACAGGAAGTGAGGTTGAATAATGTGTGGCCATGGCTTTTCCTGTAAACAGACGGGGTTAGGCTTACTCTCGGATTTATGTAATTATAACTTGTCAATTTTTTTTTAATTTGTAGGTTTAGATGTTTTTGAATTAGCCTAAAATGAAAAAAAAAGCCTATTCAGTAATTCCATAAGACTACCAACCTAAATACCACTTACAAATTTTCGACTACTAACAGCCACGAATCGTGACGCGTTAATGACGCGTTCCTACACCCCCTCCCTCCCCCAAAGCAGGATTACACAACCAAGTATTAATATTATATTAGGAATAATATGAAGCCAAATATCCTTATCAACATTCTCTCTCAACATAAATTCCACCAACAACCTTTGCTAATCACCCACGACAGTTTCCGTTTTACCAACAGAGCCTGCTTTCAGCAGCTCCATATATTGTGACTCGTTAATGACGAGTTCCTGGTACACCCATCCCTCTCCCAAAGCAAAACAGGCATACTGTACAATGTTTAATATTAAGAATAACATGGAAGCCAACATGCTGTTATTGATATTTCATGCCTGACTGTATCTGTGAGCTATTACGACCTCGACACGCACGTATGTCCACATTAAAGTTTTGGCAACAGTGCATGTGTGCAGTACCGTAATTCCGCGAACACAATATGCCCAGCAAGTTTAATTTTCGAGTGTAGTGAAACGTCATTCAAGTCGATAGTAGGCCTAGGCTATCTGTTAATACGCCTGCAAGACTGCTTCAGTGATTCAAACACGACCAGGCGCTTAATTAAAATACTAAAAGGTAAGCACGTCTTGACCTATCAGACGTTAGCCATTTATTACTGTATGAAATTTATAAAATGTGAATTTTAAATCTCATTATGTTAAAAATTCATACTCCACGGTTATCACAGATGCTTTGCCACACAATGGCTCTCAATAGTGGCTGTTGTAAAATCTGATCACTATGTTATGCCAATATCCGTGTTTCTCTTAGTTGACGAGGAAGGTGGTAACAGACTATTGTTATGCGGTTCTCATAGATACATATGTTTTTCATAATGCTTAGACAATGTTCCGTTTACGCTGTCAAACTTATGATTCTATAGGGTAGTCAAGCCATATTTTGTTTTTCATAGGTCTTGCAACTGACCGTCTCTTTTTTTTTCGTCCGGCCATGCTGCTCATAGTTCGTGAGTCCAATTTCATCGCCGTATATCTGTCTCTTTTTCAGCTGACGATGCCTTTCATGTTCATGAGCCAATGTTTCACATCGCACTTTAACTGTATATGATTGTATGCGCCCATGTTTCTCACTAGTTGTGAGACTACATTTCTCACACAGGTTTGTAATGCAATCTCATCGCATTTTATATCTTGACCATGTTTCTCTATGCTCATCGTCCGATCATGCTCCTTGTACAGTAGAATGGAGGGACCAGTTTCTCATTGCGCTTTATATTTCTTATGTTTATTGCCAGACCATGCTTCTCTTTCCCAAGGCCATGTTGCTCCCCTCACCCTATATCTGACCATATTTCTCAAAGTTCGTCGCCAATCCACGCTTCAAATGAGTTCGCCAGGCCATGTTACTCATCGCGTTATTATTATGTTTTTCATGTTTTGTCGCCAGAGTCCATGCCCCTTATACTGTAGTTCCGTCAGGCCGTGTTTGTTCATCGCCGTTTATATATAAATGTTTGTTAAGTTCTTCGCCAAACCAACAGGTTGTGTAACATATATGTGCCTGTTATTATTCTTCGGTACCGTATCTTACAAGTAGGTGCTCGTCAGATCATATTTAGTCATTGGAAAGTATTTTGTTTTTTTGCGTAGGTTTGTCATCTATTTTGTATCTCATGCCATGGTTTTACATACACTCTGTTTTTTGTTTAGTTGCCAAGCAGTACTTTCACTGCTTGACGTGTTTTCATCGTCTTCTAGTCAGTGTCCTTCGAAGGTTATTCACGCTGTGGATGATTCATTATCAAATCAATTCCCTGATCAAACTCTTCGCGTTTTCTACATCGTTGTAAGCAAAACATGCTTTATCTCATTTCCTGAAGTTTAAAATGCTCTTATAATTATTGATAATTTGAAATTTTTAGCTACACCCTCAGTAGTTGAACTGTAGCTAGTGGTTAAGATACAAATCCTGTCAGAAACAGGATTTCTTTTCTTACGACTATAAATAGCTCCATAGTCTCAGCCTCATTGTCATACAGTACCGTACTTACGGCTATAGATTACAGTATAAAGCAAAAGTGGCACTGTACCCTTCGGGAAAATAGTAATAGTCAAAGAGTTTCTAGTAGCTAATTAAGAAATTTATACTAAATATATACATTTATACATATATATATATAATATACATATATATATATATATAGGCCTATATATTTATATATATATATAGTGATTGTTTCATGTCATCGCTGAGGAAGAGCACAGGAGTGCTCGAAAATAAAAACTTATTTTATGTCTGTCAACGTATACGTTTCTACTTTGTGCATTCGTACTAACTTTATATATATATATATATATATACATACATACATACATATATATATATATATATATATATATATATATTATATGTGTGTGTGGGTGTGTGTGTGTATGTGTGTGTGGGTGTTCCAACAGGTTGTGTAACATATATGTGCCTGTTATTATTCTTCGGTACCGTATCTTACAAGTAGGTGCTCGTCAGATCATATTCAGTCATTGGAAAGTATTTTGTTTTTTTGCATAGGTTTGTCATCTATTTTGTATCTCATGCCATGGTTTTACATACACTCTGTTTTTTGTTTAGTTGCCAAGCAGTACTTTCACTGCTTGACGTGTTTTCATCGTCTTCTAGTCAGTGTCCTTCGAAGGTTATTCACGCTGTGGATGATTCATTATCAAATCAATTCCCTGATCAAACTCTTCGCGTTTTCTACATCGTTGTAAGCAAAACATGCTTTATCTCATTTCCTGAAGTTTAAAATGCTCTTATAATTATTGATAATTTGAAATTTTTAGCTATACCCTCAGTAGTTGAACTGTAGCTAGTGGTTAAGATACAAATCCTGTCAGAAACAGGATTTCTTTTCTTACGACTATAAATAGCTCCATAGTCTCAGCCTCATTGTCATACAGTACCGTAGTTACGGCTATAGATTACAGTATAAAGCAAAAGTGGCACTGTACCCTTCGGGAAAACAGTAATAGTCAAAGAGTTTCTAGTAGCTAATTAAGAAATTTATACTAAATATATACATTTAAACATATATATATATAATATACATATATATATATAGGCCTATATATTTATATATATATATAGTGATTGTTTCATGTCATCGCTGAGGAAGAGCACAGGAGTGCTCGAAATATTCGAAAATAAAAACTTATTTTATGTCTGTCAACGTATACGTTTCTACTTTGTGCATTTATATATATATATATATATATATATATATATATATTATATGTGTGTGTGGGTGTGTGTGTATGTGTGTGTGTGTTTGTCTCGCTGTATAATATTTAAAACAGAAACAAAACTTTATGAGTTGTTCAGGCTTTGTTTCTCGGAATACCATGTTGCTTTTTGGTATGACGTATAATAAAACGTGTAGGCCAAGGCCTATGCTTGTGTATGTTACGATTGCAGTAGGGAACGCTGTAGAGATAACAGTCTAGCTATTTTATGGAAGCCAGGCTGCAAACCCTGGATAGGGATTTTATAGAAACAGCTTTATTTAATATTAACTTTAACATCACCTACGTTTTATTCTTTAGATGCAACAGACAAAAAAGAAACGAAGGACACGGCTGGGTACCTACCCTGTATCAGATTATGACCTCATTGACGGCAATACGAACGGTGACGCCGTAGAAATTCGCCGTATTTCATTTTCTGTTGATGTTCGCCTTCAGTCTGCCGTTCAAGAGAAAGACAATTATGAATTATGTTGCTTGTTATCGACATACCGAGCTTCACTGAACATTAATACGTCGAATCACGTCGGCATGACTGTTCTTCATCAAGCAGTCTTAAATAACAATCTCGATTCCGTCAAGTTACTTCTATCACACGGTGCCGACCCAGACATCTCCGACATTAACGGCTTTTCGTCTCTCCACACCGCGTCTGCGTGTGGCTACAGGAATATTGCGTCATTATTAATTATTAACGGTGGAAATTTATTTCAAAGAACACTAGAAGGCGATTATCCGGTAACGTTGGCAAATGACGGCGTTACGGCGGATTTGTTGGCGACGGAAATGTCTTCTCAACTTCAAAATCGCATATTGCTTGAAAACTATGGTTTTTTATATAAATGTATTGATTTATATCATTATATCAAGACGAATACCGCATACTGTTTGAAGTTACTTTTACAATGGGTAACACAGATTCGGGATTTTATTGCATCAACTACGGATAAAATTGAAAATGAACAAGGGAATAGAAAGACAACAGGGTTGATAAAACGGGTTACGTTCTCGAACGAAATTACACCTCCTTCAATACAAGAAAAGATAAATCCACGTTTAGATAAATCTAGGCCTATGTCGATTACCACTGTGACGGAATGAATGCATCTTTTGTAGATATCGTTACGTGAATAGAGCATTATCGTGCGTCATTGACTTCTACAGGCTTAGGCCTAATTTGAGTTATGGCGGGCAACTCGTAGTCGATGCTAACAGTGATAACTGCTCCGCATGCAGACGACTCAGCTTCCCTGTTACCGCAACATGGTTAAAATGCACTTTACCATGCATGTTACGGATGCCGAGAACTTGTTGAGATAGGGTTTGGCTACCGCTACGGAATTACCGTTGTACTGATCAATTCAAGCCGTTTTAAGAGATTTTGTATACGGTATTTATTATTTTTATGAATAGTGTTCAATTTAAAAGTGAGTTATAACAAGAGATATAAAAATAAATACCTCCTTTGTTATAACAAACAACAAGCCTTGTGCCTAATAATAAATTAATTATTTTACATGCTAATGCAAAAGTGCTTAACAGGTTATATG